CATGATCTCACATCTGACTTGGGCATTTCTCTGGGCTCCTGGAGCACACTTGCAAACCCTTCCAAGCAGCCATCACACTGTGCTCTCATCTACAAGTTACATGCCCAGCGCGCTGTCCTCTGAGGCCTTCAGCATCTTCCAGAGGCCATGTCTTGCAAACATGCAAGCCCTAGATCCCAAGGAAGCACCAGGCACAGGGCAGGTGCTCAAGAACCCTGCAGTGAAGTGAATTCAAATAATCATAGACACAGAGAAGCAGAGCCTGAGTCAAAAGTCATGTGTCCCATAAGGAAAGGAAGAAGCTACCTCACTTCACTTCGAGGAGGAGCTACTTTGCCCTGGGATTAGAGACTTCTTCCTGAAGCAGCTGGATTCTAGGCTGAGGCTACCAAACAGCTGGCAAGGTGGGAGGGCAGAGCACTGGGGAGCAGGGCCAGATGAGGATTAAGCTTCCACATGGGGAACAGCATGAGCTGAACCACAGAGAACAAGGGGGTGAGGTGCTGCTTGTGCCTGCCCACCCCTCCGCTCCGAAATGAACAAACTGAGACAGGAGAATTTACTGGGAGCCCTAGAAAACAAGTACAGGCTTTTGGGGAAGCACTTTGTCAGGTACACACCCACAGCCAGAGGGCAAATTTAGAGCAGGTCTCTAGAGCCACTGGGTCCAGGCTAGTCTCAGCAGCTGGCTGTGGTGCCCTGTCCTCATTGCCTCAGGATGGTGGCTTCCTCAGGCAAGGCTTCTAGGGCTGCCTCTAAGAATGAAGGCCCCATCCCACTTACCCAGTGGTAAAGACAGGAATGCTTCATCTATTCTACCACTCCTAACTCTTTGTGGCCTTAAACGCTTAACAGCGCAATCCTTTGAATCCTTTGACAAAAAGATGTCCAGCGTTTCCTCCAGGAAGTCAGCAAAAACAGAGCGAAGATAAGCATGCTCCTGGGGCCTCTGGTTCTGACCACTGTCCACAATCTACTTTCAGGTGGCGCTGGACTGCCCAGCCCAAGGTAATAGCCCCTTCGTGAGGAGTTTAGAAAATAGCTTTTGATCTAGAGCCTCTGGTTATTCTCAGGAAACAAACATTTCTAAAACTGCTTTGACACTGAAAACAAGGCATTCAACTGGGTGGAAAGAGGGCAAGTAGGGAGTTAGAAGAATGTACAGAATTTGTAATGATTAAATTCGTGTATCAATCTGATTGGACCCAGATATTTGGACAATTGTTATTCTTGATATTCTGTGAAGCTGCTTTTAGAGAAGATTTTCTGTGTGTATGTGTGTGTGTGTGTGTGTGTGTGTGTACAGGACTGAGATTTGAACCCAGGGCCTTCTCAATGAACTACATCATCAGTCCTTTTTTTATTTTTCATTTTTAGTGTCTCATTAAGTCACTAAGTTGTCCAGGCCAGAGCTTACATGTGCAATTCTCCTACCTCAGGCTCCCAGAGTGCTGGATTACAGGCCTGTGCCACCACACCCAATTGAGATTCATATTTAAATTAGCAGATTTTTGAATAGCACAGATTGCCCCCGCATAATTTGAGATGCCTCATTGCATTGGTTAAAGATGGAACTGAACGAAAGGCAGACCATCCAGGCAAGAGGGAATTCTGCCAGCAGACAGGCTTCAAACATTGTCTCCAACATCAGTTTTCTTCGGGCCAACAGCAGATGGCCTTTGACTTGAACTGCAATTCTTCTTGCACATTCAGTCCATACTCACCAAGACCCCACAGCTGCATGAGTCAATCCCTCCATCTATCCTGTGGTTCTCTCTCTCTGTGAAATTCTCACTGACCCAAACCTCCTGGCCTTGAAAGACAAGGTCCATGGAATCTAGTAACGCCCAAGCCAGCAGAGAAGCTGCCATGTGGACACCTGACACGCACTCACCTGCACAACAGTCAGGGTTCAGTTGGTGAACAGTTGGTGCTTAGCACCATTGCAACCTTGGTGACAAACTTCAAGGAGGGAGCCATGAAGTGGCCAACAGTCAATCATTGTCATGAGGAGAGAAGATGAGAATCAATCCTTGTAACAAAAGAAGTTTGCAAAAATAGGAAGCTCCACCAATGTAAAAATAAACATTAAAAAAAAAACTTCCCAGAAAAGAACAACATCTAAGAAGAGCAAGCTTAAGCTCCATCACAAGCCTCCTATCAACTTGGAATTGGGAAATATCCCCTCACCAAAGCACATCTGACAGGAGAGAAATAAGTCCCATTACCCAATGAGAATGGTGTGGAAATAACAGAATTGCCTTTATTTTGATGGATGAGCTAATAAAATGGTATAAAAATTATTAGAAGCAATAAAATTAAATCACCAAATACAGTTCTATTTGTTTTGTGCTATGGGGTGGATTCTTGCATTGAGTGGAAGGTTGGACTATATAACTTCCAATTTTAGGAAACAATACAAGGGCAGAAACATGATGATGATAATCTTTTATTGCTGGCAAGCTACTTCCAAGCCACTGTAACTGCCCTAACAACAATCGCAAAAGACCATGGAAACTTAAGTAGACACAAAAAAGATAGACCACTCCCCCACCCCCACCCCCGCTCTTTCCAGAAGTAGCTCTAGTCACAAAGACTTTTCTAATCAAACTAACAGTGTGACCTAAGGTGTTAGGTCCTGGAATGAACATGATGATTCAGCCTGAGCATTTGCTTAGACTCACTGAGACATAATTACACTGATTCAAATAAAATCACTGACCACAATTTCCTTATATCCACAGGAAGCAAATGCAGAATCAACAGCAGCCAAGACTCCACACTGCAGGAACAACTGGCACGGAGGTTGGGGGCGGAGGGGAGGTGACAGAGCAGGAGATGTGAGCTCAGAGGTACCCAGGGCTCTTCAAAGAAGCTGGTGCCCCTGATGAAGAAGAGGCACTTGCCTGGAAATGACCACTAAAATCAGTGTGGTTTCTTCACCCAACCTTTTGGGTTATATTTGCATTTTGGTAAGGTTTGCCAAGTTACCTGCCAGGTGCTTACCACCTCTCAACCTTCCTGATGCATCAGTTCTAAGCTCCAGGTAGATCCCTGTGGCTGCCACTGAGTCCCTGGCCTGGCTGCATGCTACACCATGCACGCATGACCAGGCCATGATGACCAACCACCTTATACATTCACAGTTTCCCCATCAGGGACATCCATTAGGGAAAAAAAAAAAAAAAGCTTCATTACATCTTACCCTTTTGCCAGTCAAACTTTCCAGAAATAGCCCCTGTTCCTCATCCAGGCCACTTCTTTTTTACCAATATTGTGTCTTTCAGGGCCAGGGCTTTAGCTCAGTGGTTCTGCCACCTGCCTCACAAGCGCAAGGACCCAAATTCAACCCCCGGTACCAAAACATACAAAACATATCTATTGTGTCTTTCAGAGCTAAGTGGGACTCCAAATGGTTTGTGGGGAACGATGAGGCTGCACTCGGGGAAGCTCTGCACACCTCCTATTTCAGGCCACTCGGAAGCCCTCACACAGTCCCGCCCTGTGCAGTGACTCTCCCAAGCCTCTCACTCTTCATCTTTTCCTGGACCTCTTTATCAGACAGGCTTCCCATCCCTAGCTTTGACTCATAGACGTATCCCTCACTATTTTTCCATAAAATGCAATGGTAAACAAGGCGCCTTCTGGAGAAAGACGCAAGCTGGTCCACACTGGCAGAGAAAGGACGGCAGATCTAAAGGCCAGACTTAGCTTGGTAACAACAGCCTTCTCGGGCCTCACCTCCTGGCACCCCACAGTCCCTCTCCCCTCTCCAAAAGGCAGGGACATATCTTTGGCTTGCTTTATACCTTTGTTCCTTCTCAAACATTTAGCAGAAATTATCATTTCCACTACTCTCTTGGGATCCTGCCCACATCCTGAGTCTTCTAGGTAATGGCTCATGGGGAAAATAGTATAGTTAAGCACTTGCAATTGCATACCTAAGACAAGGAAATCATGGGGTTTCCAAGATAATAAGGGCAGTATTTAAAAGCTTCCTCTAACACCCCTTTTACCAGTTAACCCTGTTCTCTTTGCTTATCAAAGTTCACACCATTACCGAAGGTGTCACAGTTGCCCTAAGAATGAGTCAGACATGAAAATTTCCCTACGCTGCCCATAAAGTCTGCCTAAAGCAAACTAAATTCTTGTTTGAGTCTGAGGGGCCCACTTTTGATTACCAGAAGTATATACGTATGACTAAAGAGAGGAAAAGGTGCCAGAAATGGAAGGAGCACACGGTGAAAGAAATGGGTGACCCTAAAGGACCAGGCCCTAGAAGAAGCACTGGCTTGCTGTCTGGGGGCCTCCAGGTGAGGCCTGAGGTCCATCGGCCAATGTGTTACAAGGGAACTACGGTGATGGTCTGACTCCTGGATTCCTGTCACTAACCCGAAACCAGGAGGCAGAAGAGGAGACTGCACCCGGTCCCTTGTCCCGTGTGACCTTCCTTGCCCTACACCCTACTGCCAAAGAAAAGCGGGGAGAGGCCTCAGGTCTACAACAGCATTTATGAGACTGGCTCCAGAAAGATCAGAAATAATGGGTCAGCTTCTCATCCCTCCAGCTTCTCCATTCCTTCTGCTACTTTTCTTTTTGTTTCCGTAACTTGGTTAACATCACTAGGGAAATGCGAAGCATCAGGAGAGAATCATCATATTTATAGGCAATGGCTCCAACAATTGATATTTAAATGACTGGGTTCACCTTTTCTTTCATCTGTTTCTCCTGATTCTACCACCACATGAGGGTATGACTTCATTCCAAAGCACGATCTATCACTGCATAATCTTATTTCAATTACTTTTAAAATTATATGGAGATTTATATAGCTATATGTTGCAAACTAATATACAACTGAAACCAGGAATGGGGAAGATTTTTTCAGCAAATGTGCTTGGTTTGTCCTCTTTCATCCTCACTTACACGCACAAGTACATATGTACGTAGGTACTTTTTCATATAAACACATATTTAGAAGCTATCAGGTGTCCCCTTACCTCTGATGGCTTCGTGGTACATTTTCCCTTTCCTGAGCACTCCAAGTCATTTGTACGGCCATCCCCTGGAACACAGGTGCTGGCCTTCACCACCAGAGTTAAACGCAAAGCCACGATAGATTTAGTGACAGAGTCATTCACAAAACCTGAAAGAAAATAGGACAATAGGAAATGTAAAATAAAGCTCTAACAACAGTTGTTCTCCAAGACTATCAATTTCATTTAGGCCGCTTTTGAGTCTGGCCAACAAAAAACAAAATGGCAGTGAGGTGAAGGAATAAAGCACAAGGCTACAGTCCATTCAGACATCAGGGCTTTAAACAGACCAGACTCTCCAAGCATTATGGGAAACTGCCGATGACAAAGGAGAGGAGTGCCTGGCACTTTAGCCACCATTTTATCTCCTTTACATTGGTCCTCCCCTTATCCAGAAGGGACATTCTCTCTGGAGCCAATTTCTGTGCCCGATCTTAGAATCCACTCTCTGCTTTGGGACCTGGTCTTCTCTCTGGAAGCAACTTGCTGCTGTCACTCAACTCTTCCTCCTCTGGGCTAGTTTGCATACTTGAAGCTGCTGGAAAAAACCAAAGGCCCTACCTTGTTATCAGCCCTCTGAGGCAGCTCTCTGTGCCTTCCTACAAGGGCATACAAATAAAGGTACACATTCTACATTGGGTTTTTTAATGAACACTTGCTTGATCACCAATCTGACCTCACAGTATCACTTTTATACACCTAGTAAAAATAGGTGGTTTTGGCTACTTGATTAAAAAAAAAGAACTAATCATAGTTGAATATTGATTGCAGTATCACTGATGTATCATATTTGTTACTGAATGATCTTGATATCTAGTATAGTAATTTAATAGCCATAAATATGAAATAAATTGATGAATAAATACAGGCTCAGTAGAATGGACAAACCAATACTTAAGTATCTTGCATCGATGACTAAATAATTTCAATAAAGCAAGTATCTTTTTTCTAATAAAAATTCATTTAATTTTTATTTCAAGATAAAACATTGCCAGAACTCACTAGTATGACAAGAAAGTAAGTACAATATCCTCAGTGCTGTTCAAGAGTAAGAGCAAGTCCAACAACCTCGTGATTATGAAGCCATACCCACCGATACTTTAATGACAAAAGATTTTTAGCAGCAAGGTGGCACCTCCTAGTGCCAATGAGGAAATATAGAAGAGAAAATAATTTATTTTAGAACAATTTAAATAAATTCTATTACCACGCAAAAGTATATTTGAATCCCTACCTCACACTATACATAAAAGTAAATATGGATGGCTTAAAGAGCTAAATATGAACCAAACCTCTACATTTTCAAGTGGAAGATATAGGAAGCTATTTCACTGATCTTGGGGTAGGGAATTTCCTAAACAAGATACAAATAATAACCCATAAAAAAATAGATCAATCTATTTAACCTTATCTAAATGTAAATTGCAAGCAAATACTCACCATAAACAAATATAGTAGACAAGACATAGACTTGGAAATGAAATTTGTAATGCTTTAAACCAGTACCTGATTAGCTATAAGAATATAACAAGAGTTCTTTCTGCCACTTGCTTTTTTCTCAACATTATTTATATTTACATAAATATCAAAACCTACAAAGCAGTAATAAGTACTATTACATATACATATATGCACAATAAATTTATATATAAAGATTCATGGAAAGAAACAACCAGAAAAAGGAGGTTTACTTCTTTTAAAACAATATATTAAAATGCAAGAAAAATATTAAATCTTGTCCGTAAAGAAGTCCTCTATTTAGTGCCATGGCTTTATGTGTTTTAAATCTTACCTAGCCAATTTTTATTTATATTATGTATTATATTTCAGGTAGCACAACAAACAATAAACAGGCTTTGACAGGTTAAAAAATATAGTATCCTGACATCCAGAATACACAGACTCAAAAGGTCTCTGTATTTTTCTAATAACAGCATTTTGCCCTCCCCATATCAAATCCTTTCTTGTGATGCAGACATATACACGCACAACTATATTTATTTTCATACATATGTTTCATTAAAATATTGACAATAACAGAAAACGTGTTAATTGACCTTGCTTTTGTGGCAACTAGCACCATCTCTTCAAATGATGGTCACTTAAGAACGTGTTGCTTCTCTTGACAAGAAATTATCAACACTCCACATAACTTTCCGTGTTCTTAATTTAGAATTCCTTATACCCTCGGGCGTTGTGCATTCCTAAAACCCATTATTGCAGACATATTCAAAATGTTGTTTGACACAGTAGCATTCATTTTTTCATACTTTTAAATGCTAAATGGAGAGCAACTATGGAACAGAAATACAGCAGGTCTTGGGTCAAGGGATGAAAGGAATTCATGCTGTCAAGGGTCTGTGGGCTGGAATTCCAAGGTGTGAGGATTCCTAGAGATCCCTTTGACACCAGTGGGTGGGCAGCAATGCTGGTGACATCATCTACCTCCCAGAACTGCTTCTAGGAGCAATGGGAAGCGAGTCTCCGGGTTGTACCTCTGTACTATATTTTTCTGAGCATTCTGTCGAGCCCTACTACAGCTAAGCCAATTCCCCACATGCTGTGCAGGATTAGGAGTCAAGTGTCCCTTCCCAAAGTCAAAGGATTGAAATAAAAGGCATTTATTAATGAGAAGAAGGCCTGGTGAAGGCACTGTTTAGTGGGTACCAAGCATGAGAACACACAGGAGCAGTATGAATGGAACCAAAGCACAAGGATAAGGTTTGAAATGGAACAAACCAAAAAATATAAATACAGACGAAGGGAGCCCATCAAGGAAGAACCCAAAGAATCATCCTAAATGAAGGCCTGATGTGTTCAGCCTGCCCACACTGGCTGTCACCCAGTGCAGGTGGGTCCCTTCCTGAAAGGGTCACATCCTCTTGAAAAACATCCTGTGAACGACCATAGATCTCTTCCTGGTTTCAATCTCTAGGGTGTACTCTAATTTCTCCTGTGAGCTATGTACTGACTGGGAAAATGAAAAGCTGTCAGACGACTGTATTCATCAATGAACGACTTGTAATTAGTACCTTGATTATATAGGAGAAAGACTCCTACATCACCCATAGATGGGTATGTAAGACAATGGGTGAATATGACTTCAGGCAAGATTCTAGATAAATAATTCCTCTGAGTTATGCATTAGGCAGGGACCCAAATAAGGTGACCAAAGAATTTATTCTCAAAATGAGAACTGTTTAGAACAGAAAGGGAGTGCTTTTTATAATTACACCTAAATATACAGTAAGACAATATGGTCCCCCTACTCCTGATATCCTAAGGAATAATATCTGGGGCTAATGAACAAATGACTACCTCAGTACCAGGGAGAGTCTTACAGGCAGGAGAAAGACTCAAAAATTAATTCATTCAATTCACATGGATCAGAGTCACGATGGAGAACTAATAGAAGTCAGAGCAAAGTGGGGACACTCTTCAGCTTCAGATGTGGCATTACGAGAAAAGGTTCCCCTGGTGTCTCGGTGGAAACACGAGTCTGAAGCAGAGTGGTATTTTATGTCCACAGAGAACTGGCTACTTTCTTCCTCAGATTTCCTACTGAAGCCTTTGTTGTGAGTCGGCTTTGGGGAGGAAGGAAATGGATGGTTTAGGCAAAAGTGTCTCTCCCATAGAGCTTTCTACATCTTCATCAGAACCCTGAACTGTGTAGAAACACAGTTCTCATTCAGTTATCCAAACATTTCTTGAGTGAGCCCTTTTCCTGGATTACTCCTTCTCCCAATCTCATAACCACTGAGATGCGGCTCAGATCTCACCACATTCATCAGCTCCTCCTCGGAGTCTCAGCCCAGCCTGAGCTCTACTGTGTCTGCCACACTCCGGGGCACCTCCTGTATCTGTCCCTGATTACCTTCTGCCTTGGATAGTTTCTTATCGTGCCACCTTTCCTGGCACTCCCTTGAGGGAAGAAACAAGTCTTAGCCAAGTGGTGAGTAAGAGGTCAAGACACAAGTACATATGCTATGGTCAGAGCAACAAAGACAATTCCCAGAAAGGAGCTTACAGAATGTTCTGGCACCCACAATGCCCACTGAGAATAAATGTTTACATGAGTGTACAAATTCCAGTTTACTAAAATATAATCGCTTATCAGCTTATGACTGACTACCCTTAGTAAAGAAATGAAGCCTGAAATGGATACATATTGAAGATATACTCCTAAGTGAAATAAATAAGGCACACGTGTAAATACCAAATAGTTTCCCTGGTTTGAATAATCTGCAATAATACATAAGATCCTAATAAGATTACTGACATTTAGAAATGGGAAGAAAGGAGCTAAAGGTGTAGGGAAGGTGGGATGGGTAGGGGAAGGGTAATAAGGGAAAAGAAAAAAGTGTGAGAAAATGAAAAGATGAAAATAAAGTGTTTGTAGATGGGGAGGGGAGGAGGGTATGAAGGGAGGGCAGGGGTAAGGGGAAAAAATGAGAATCAAGACTTGTCATGTAGAGGTACAAGATCCCAACAATGAATGTAACTGTACTGTATCCCTAAAATGTACCAATAAACTCAATTAAAGCTGAAAAAAAAAAAGAAATGAAGACTGGCAGAATGTTGGGATGCCACCAGAGGTCTTATTCCAAGTGACATTTTACATAGAAAATAACAGAGATAAAATCAGTCATCCATAATTATAGAAGCGTTTTTCAGCTGGATCGAATGGAATACCTTTGCTTTGTTCTCCAGCTTCACATTATACTATTTTAAAAATCCATATCATTTGTTTGCTCACAAAGCATTTAGACTACATCATGCTCTACGCTTACTCTACATAGAAGAGGCTTCCTTTAAAAGATTATTTTTCAAATTCTACCAACTATTAAATTTAGTTGTCTCGCAGTAATTCAAAGGAGTACATAGTTAAAAATGCACAAAGTGTAGTTTTCTACGTGATTTGCTTCTATTTCCCCAGTGAACAAGTACTGAGCTCACTTTATAAAGAAGGCACCATCCTGGTGTACAAAGATGTGTCACCTTTGATTTCTGCCACTCAAACCTTCAGTCAAAATTAGCGGCTCTTGGAGCCAGGGATTTAGCTCAGTGGTTACGCTGCCTGCCTTGCAAGCGCATGGACCCGAGTTCAATG